AAAAAAAAAAAAAAGGAAAGAAATTCACAGACTGAAAGCCAAAGGCTGGAAATCAATATTCCAAGTGACAGGAACTCAGAAAAAAATAGGAGTAGCAATTCTACTTGCAGACAAAGTGGATTTCAAACCAAGACTGATTAAGGTAGACAAAGAAGGTCACTACATCCCTGTAAAGGGAAAAATCCAAGAGGAAGAGGTAACAATCAAAAAAATATATGCATCAAATAGCAGTGCACCCAACTATATAAAACAAATGTAACAGACATGAAAAATCAGCTTTTGTAAATACAGAGAGGAAGAAGGGTCAAAGGGAGGGGGAAATGGGAAAAAAAGAAGCAAGATATATCATGTACATGTACAAAAACAAAACAAAAACAACTCTACCACTGAACTACACCCCCAGCTCTTACAATTTTTCTTTTTTTTTGTTTGTTTGTTTTTTGAGACAGGGTCTCACTATGTAGTTGAGACTGACGTAGAACTCACTATGTAGCTCAGGCTGGTCTCGAACTCACCGAGATCCTCCTGTCTCAGCCTCCAGAGTGCTGGGATTACAGGCATGCACACTACACCCGGCAATTTTGTTGTTCCCTTGGGAAGAGCTTTTTTTTGTGGGTTTTTTTTGGGGGGTACTGGGGATCGAATTCGGGTCCTTGTGCTTGCAAGGCAGGTGGCAGAACCATTGAGCCAAATCCTTGGCCCCCCGCTTTTTTTTTCCTTTTTGATACCTGGGATTGAACTTGGGACCTTGTGCTTGTGAGGCAGGCAGCAGAACCACTGAGCTAAATCTCTGGCCTTATGTTGAAATTTTTGTCTTAATTTCTTAGTTTAGTTTACTTTAGTTTAGTACTGGGGATTGAACCCAGGGAGCACTATGCTATATCCCCAACCAGCTCTTTTTATTTTATTTATTCTTTAATTTTTATTTTTTGGTACCAGGGATTGAACTCGGGTCCTTGCACTTGCAAGGCAGGCCACTGAACCGCTGAGCTAAATCCCCGGCCCTCTTTTTATTTTTTAATTTATTTATTTGGACCTTGCTTGCCAGGCAGGCATGGTGCCACTGAGTCACATCCCTGGGCCCTGAGCTTTATTTATTTATTTATTTATTTATTTATTTATTTATTTATGGGTACTGGGGATCGAACTTGGGTCCTTGAACTTGCAAGGTAGGCACTGGAACCACTGAGCTAAATCCTCAGCCCTCTTTTTATTTTTATGAGATAGAGTTTCAGTAACTTGCCCAAGCTGGTCACATTTTAGTGGGGGGGTTGATACTGGGTCTCAATGTGTAGTTCAGGCTGGCCTTAAACTCACTATGTAGCCCAGGCTGGCCTCAAACTCATGGCAATCCTCCTGTCTCAGCCTCCCAACTGCTGGGATTACAGGCGTGCACCACCATACCTGATTGGCCATGAATTTTTTTGTTGGGGGGTACCAGGGATCTAACACAGGACCTTGTATTTGCTAGGCAGGCATGGCGCCACTAAGCTAAAATCCTGCCTCAGCCTCTAAAAGTGTTCTGATTACCACCTACGTCTGCCACTGCACATGGCTGCAACTTATTCCTTTCTTTTTTTCCACAGTGCCAGGGATTGAACTCTTTACACTTATGAGGCAGGTATGGTGCCACTAAGCTAAAAATCCCTGGCCCCTAATGCAACTTATTTTTATCGGACAATGCAGGCTTAGATCATGCTTGGCATTGTAATCCTCCTTACCACTACTTTATGAAAAAACTTGTTTTTTTTTGCTTTTTGGTACCATGGATAGAACTCAGGCAGGGTGCCATTGAACTAAATCCCCAGCCCAAAAAACTTGTTTTTTTATTCATCAGCAAGGCCTATTACTACACGTGTGCATAGCTGTAGGGGATAATGAGACAAAAAGAGAGGGGTCCAATCTCCTGGCAAGTTATAATCCACTGTGGGAAACAATATGTATCTTTACAGTGGTAGGTGAGAAGCTGGGCATGGATCTTTGGAAAGAGGCATCCCTGAGCTGGGCGTAGTGGCACACACCTGTCATCCCAGCACTGGAGAGGCTGAGGCAGGAGGATTCGAAGCAAGTTGAAAGACAACCTGGGTAACATAGTAACTTCCAGTCCAGCCTGAACTACACTGAAACACACTGTCTCAAATAAGAAAATAAAATAAAGTAAGGAAGGCAGCATCCCAAATAGCAGGCAGGCAGAATGCCACATGCAGTCTTAATAGGGAAAAGGAAGCTTTGCCAGCTCTCCCACCACTGAGGCCTGGTCCTCCACTGTGCTTGTGATTTTTTTGCCTGGGGATTTCCGGGCACTTGTGACAAGTGCCTGCGTGGAGGGGTGGTCCCAGCCTTGTCCTAACCCTTCCAGGGCGGCCCGAAGCCCTACTGGGGGCCTGGTCATCACTGACACTCATTAGATCTCCAGATTTCCTGTCCCCACCAGGCTTCCCTGGGCCCCTGGGTTGCTGGGCTCAGCCTCTCCTTGGTCACAGCCAACAAACACGTCTGTCTGGACTCCATTGCTCCCCCAAACTCCCTCAGCGCCCCCACTCCGTTGGTCTCTTCCTCACACCTCAGCCTCGCCACGGTCTCCCCTCAGTCCCTCTTCTAGGACCCCACAAACTGTCCTCGTCCCAGGACTCCCCAGAAGTCCCTGATAGCCCCTGGAACTCTCCTCAGACACCACTGCCCGCAGGCCCTTCCCAGCCCAGCTCACACTCTCCAAGTGCACCCCAGGTTCCGCAGCCTGGACGCCCCCGCCCCGCCCC